GTCGACCACAAGCAAAAATCTGTATCGTCACATTCCAAAGTGAATGACACACACAACTTCGTCTTTCTGTTTAAATTGAGCAAATTGCTAGTTTTTAATGCACAAGCTGAAATGAACGTGTCAAACTTGTCATATCTGCCATGAATGATGCTGTGATGTTACACTTTTTTACATTTAATTAGCTGTTTCTTGTTTTAGATTTGAGGCCAGTATACAGCAGGGAAAATAAGTATTGAACACATCACCACTTTTCTCATAAAAAATATGTCTAAAGGTGCCGTTCACTTGAAATTTTACCCAGATGTTGGTAACAACCAAAGAAATTCATATATGCAACGAAAACATATCTAATTAGTTTACAAATTAAGTTATGCATAATAAAATGAAGTGAAAAAGTATTAAACACATGAAGGAAGGGAGGTGTACAAAGGGAGTAAAAGCCCAGACAGCAGCTGAAATCTCTTAGTGGTTATTCTGCAACCCTCTGGTTTTCCTCATCGATCAATAATATTAGTTTCTTCAGTCCAACATTATCAGGATGATGAAGATGAAACCAGAGTGGACATTTCAGCAAGACAATGATGCAAAACACAGCCAAGGAAACTCTCAAATGCTTTTGGAGAAAGAAAAGCAAGCCATAGAATAACCCAGCCAATCACCTGACTTGAATCCAATATAAAATACAAATTAAAGATCAGATTTGATAGACGAGACCCATAGAACCATGACATTTTTTCACTCTTTTGAAGTCTGTGAAAAAAATCCCACCTGAGCAATTCGTATGACTTCATTCTCAATATAAGAGGCATCCTTAAGCTGCCATCACCAAAAAAGCCTTTTATATAAAGTATTAAATACGTTTCAGTAGTTCAGTACTTTCTCCTTGTGTCATTTTATTGTTATTACACATATTTTTCCTGATTTGTTTTTGTTTTGTTTAATTTTTGTTTGTGCTGTTTGGGTTTTACCAAAATCTTGTTCAATTCCATGTCAACAGCTCCTTTAGAAAGATTATCCCCAGGAAAAAAAAACATTACGTGTTCAAAATTTATTTTCCGCACTGTATTAATCAAAATGAATCTCGTACTTCAGATGCTGCTTTAAGAATGTTCAATGTGTAATTATTATTATTATTATTATTATTATGCTATTATTATTAATCATTATTAAACATATTGACAATTAGTCGTGCCACTAATTGTATAGATTTAGAACAACCTTAACAAAAGAATTGTGAGTTTTGAAGTGAGCACTAACTGCATTCCTGACATCTCTAATGAAAGTTTTTTATTAAACTCTGCTGCATTACACTTTAATTGTAGTACCATAATTGCATTGCCTTTTGAATATGAAGAATGTCCCTTAGGTCTTTATTGACAATTAGGCTGGAAATATGGCACCATATAAATTATATGCTGTTTTGAATGTGTTTTTTTTTTCATTGTTTTTATGCATTAAATCTGAGCTTTGTGAGCAAATTTTCTTTTGTCAACAGAAATGTTGTGAATGTGATATATAATAACAATATAAAGCTTATCACTCTTGAAATTTCATTTACCGCGTTTCCTTGCATGTGTTTAGTCAATTAACCATGATCATTTAGTACAGCAGCTATTTTTGTTATTTGTAATATTGGGTTAAAATCTAGCGCTAAAGGGATAGTTCACTCAAAAATGAAAATTCTGTCATTTTCTAAGCCTTGACATGTTTAAAACCTTTTTTGAGTTCCTTCTGTTGAAAGAAGATATTTTGAAGAATGCTGGTTTCTCCTACCTATTGACTTTGATAACTATATAGACTCACCGGCCACTTTATTAGGTACTTACTAGTACTGTGTTGGACCCCCTTTTGTCTTCAGAACTGCCTTAATTCTTTGTGGCATAGATTCAACAAGGTACTGGAAATATTCTTCAGAGATTTTTGTCCCTACTGACATGAAAGCGTCACGCAGTTTCTGCAGATTTGTCGGCTGCACATCCATGATATGACTCTCCCGTTCCACTTAACACATCCCAAAGGTGCTCTATTGGGTTTAGGTCTGGTGACTGTGGGGGCCATTTGAGTACAGTGAACTCATTGTCATGTTCAAGAAACCAATCTGAGATGATTTGCGCTCCTGCTGGAAGTAGCCATTAGAAGATGTGGTCACTGTGGTTATAAAGGGATGGACATGGTCAGCAACAATACCCAGGTATGCTGTGGCGTTGACACAATGCTTAATTGGTAATGAGCCCAAAGCGTGCCAAGAAAATATCCCCCACACCATTACACCACCACCAGCAGCCTGAACCATTGATACACGGCAGGATAGATCCATGCTTTCATGTTGTTGATGCCAAATTTTCACCCTATCTAGAAATCAAGATTCATCAGACCAGCCAAGATTTTTCCAAATCGTCTGTTGTGTAATTTTGGTGAGCCTGTGCGAATTGTAGTCTCAGTTTCCTGGTCTTAGCTGACAAAAGTGGCACCCGTTGTGGTCTTCTGCTGCTGTAGCCCATCCGCCTCAAAGTTCGACATGTTGTGCGTTCAGAGATGCTCTTCTGCATACCTCGGTTTTAAAAAGTGGTTATTTGAGTTACTGTTGCCTTTCTATCAGCTTCAACCAGTCTGGCCATTCTCCTCTGATGGCTAGTATCATCAATGCATTTGCACCAACAGAACTACCACTCTGAATATTTTCTCTTTCTCGGTCCATTCTCTATAGAGATGGTTGTGCGTGAAAATCCCAGTAGATCAGCAGTTTCTGAAATACTCAGACCAGCTCGTCTGGCACCAACAACCATACCATGTTCAAAGTCACTTAAATCTCTTTTGTTTCCCTTTCTGATGCTCAGTTTAAACTGCAGCAGATCGTCTTTACCATGTCTACAAGCCTAAATGAATTGAGTTGCTGCCAAACACCTAATAAAGTGGCCGTTGAGAATATTTTTCCTAATATGAAAGTCAATAGGTTCCAGCAACCAGCATTTTTCAAAATATCCCCTTTTTGTTCAACAGAAGAAAGAAACGCATAAAGGTTTATATCCAGAAGGGTAAAAGAGTAAATGTATTATAATGTAATGTAATGTGTATTTATATAGCGCATTTATTGTGTATGGCCGTACACCCAAAGCGCTTCACAATCATGGGGGGGGGGTTCTCCACACCACCACCAGTGTGCAGCATCCACTTTGTTGATGCAACGGCAGCCACAGGACAACGGCGCCAGTGTGCTCACCACACACCAGCTATTGGTGTAGTGTAGAGACAGTGATAGAGCCAATTCGGTGAAAGGGGATGATTGGGAGGCCATGACCGTAAGGGCCAATAGAGGGGCTTTGGCCAGGACAAAGGGGTTACACCCCTGCTCTTTCTCGAGAAGTGCCATGGGATTTTTAATGACCACAGAGAGTCAGGACCTCGGTTTAACGTCTCATCCGAAAGATGGCGCCCACTGACAATGTAGTGTCCCCTTCACTTCTACTGGGGCATTAGGACTCACACAGACCACAGGTTGAGCACCCCATGCTGGCCTCACTAACACCACTTCCAACGAGAGGGTGCTCGCTGCAGAGCCATTTGAGAAGAGCTGAGCTCCAGCAAGGGGGAGCATGAGCTGTCGCTCCTCCTCCTGTAAGCTGTTTTAATGCATACACCAACCCCACCCCTAACCCTACCCCCAGTGACATCACTCGTAGAAGAAGTGCAAAAAAGGTGGAGCTCAAGCTTAAGCTCCCCCTCGCTGGAGCTCAGCTCTCCTCAAATGGCTCTGCAGCGAGCACCACTTGCTTCCAACAGCAACCTAGTGTTCCCTAGTGGTCTCCCATCCAGGTACTGACCAGGCTCAGCCCTGCTTAGCTTCAGTGAGTAACCGGTCTTGGGCTGCAGCATGATATGGCAATATATGATAAGGGGTGAAATGATGAGATTGTTTTTAAATGAACCATCCATTTAATGTAAATGTCGTACATTAAAATTGACAATGCAAAGATGTTCCCAAAATAAATCTAAAACTGAACTTCAAAACTGCAGAAATGTAAAAATCCTCTTGATCACAAAGAGTATTTGTTTAATGATCACCAGCACTTGTTTTAAGTCACTTGTTTACTACATTCTTACATAACATGGTGGTAATAATTAATCTTTTACCAAAGTTAAAACCATTCAATCTGGAAAAGGAAAACACACATTTTCAATATGAATTCACACAAGAAAGCTAATTACCTACCAATGATACACTACATGTTTCTCTATAGCACTTTAATGTAATGAATGTTTTTTTTTTAAAGTTATATATTTGCATTACAATAAATTACACACCATCTAGTTTATGTTGCCTTGATAAAACATCAACAGACAGATGCATGGTTGGCTAAAATGGACGCACCCACTCACACCCAGAGGATATAAAGTGTTTCTCTCATTTTACAGAGCATATGATCAGCTTCGAATCATGTGAGTATAAGTCAGATTGAACTTTTTTTTTTTCTCCTTTGCTCATTGCTGCATACTGCATATACATTTCCAGTTATTAATATTGTTATAGTGTAGATCCGAACAATCCAATTGTAAAAAGTGGCATGCTGTGCAGTGTTTGTGCAAAAAAGTGCATATTTTAATTGCTAATTATTTGATAGGCTTATTACAAAAATAACTGCACTGTTTATATTTGCACAACAGTTTAGTATATAAAGGGTCTGTTTGCAATCATATAGGAGAAAAAACATTAGCTAGTACGTTGTAAATAAATATACACAGTTGTTAACAAGTTAACTTGCAATATAAGCATTATTTTTGTTAGCTACCGTTTGTTAATTTGTTTGCTGGCTGGCAGTAGCTTATTAACTCGAAGATCCCATTCAACTCAATGACCAGAATTATCATAGTAAATTAGATGCTTTTAACACTTATTGACAAGATAAGAAAATGTAAAAATTGTAATAAGATGGACAATACGTGCAACACCCAAAGCAAAAAAAAAAAAAAAAAACTGTAAATGCAACATTCATGTCACGGAGCATGGATGTCGAGTAGCTATCTTCGTGTTATCATCCACAGATTCCACAAAAGTGCTAAAGTTCAGAAAGCAAAGTAGGCTGAGACTAGCGACAGAGATCTTTACTTTGCAGATATGAGATGCTTCTACCGTGCTCGCTTCTACTGTGCTCGATGTAATTTTTGGCTGGTAGAAATCTCGCTTCTTCTCCATTTCTCAAGAGGAATCTGGATAAAGAGGTTTGTTTGTATACGTCATGATTGCATAAGTATTTACATTTGTAAAGAGTTTTAAGTGGTTTAGACGCTATAAGTTTAAATTATTTTGTTTCTTTTAGACCTTGTTTTAACTAGTTTTTCACGTTGATTCATCTTGAATATTAAATTTTTATTTTAATTACTTGTCTTAAGTATGGATTTATTGTAGTTTATTTTACATTTTTTCAACCATAAATAATCATATCTAAATGTAAATTGTGGCATACCACAAGAATCATTTTTAGGTCTAATATTGTTTATAATTTACATTAATGATATAAGATATTAGATTTGTTTAAGTTTATTTTATTTGCAGATGGGATAGTTTACCAAAACCTATAGAGTTGATTAAAACAGTAAATTATAAATTGAAATTGTGGTTTGATGAAAACAAATTGTAATTAAATATAAGTAAAACAAGTTATTTTATTTTGGGAAATTGAAAACTAGACGTAATATAGATTAAAAAAAATTATAATGAAGTAACAGAATATGCAGTTAAGCTTTTTGGTGTTGTGATATCAAAATTTGTAAAAACTGTAGCAATTATGTATAAAGCAAGATTTATCCTGGACAATAAATCAATTTATGTATTATATAATCCACTTATGTTGCCATATATTAGAGTTATTGCGTTGAAATTTGGGGGAATGCATATGCAACTTATGATCCTTATGTACAAGACAAAAAAAGTAATTAGAATGACAGAAAATGTGGGGTATTTGGAGCATACAAATCCTTAATTTTTTAAATTGAAGATTCTTAAGTTCAACAGCACAATTTATGTTTAAAGCTAAGAATAAATTTCTTCCAAAATGCATACAAAAGTTTTTTGAAGAAAGACAAGGTGGGTATAATCTGAGAGAAGAACTAAAATTTAGGAAGTTAAAAACAAGGACAACTTTAAAAAAAGGTTTGTGTATGTCTGTATGTGGTGTGAAATTATGGAATAGTCTAGAACAGATTCTGAAACAATGTCAGGATATTAATCAATTTAAAAAGTTGTATAAATATTATTAAAGGAATATAATGATGAATAGAGGTGAAAGGTATAATGACATTTCAAATAATGGCTATTTGCAATACTATGGTTTTTTTTTGCGTATATGTTTTAAAATGTACAAATGGAATCAAACATATAATATGTCAAAGATGCTGAAATGATAAAATATGTCTCATGTAAAAAAAAAGAGATAAGTAAAAGAAGAAATAAGTTGAAGTAATAGCTGAATGATGTGTGTGTGGTAATGGCGTGGGGAAAATAATGAGCTTGTGCTTCATCCCACTCCATTTCGACCATGTTGAAACGTATTATTGTTTATAGAATTGTTTTATGTAGGATTTTTTTGTTTAAAATAAATAAATCTAATCAGTAATTCTAATCTAATCTAATCATAATTGTTTTAAAGTTAAGTTACTTCTAAAAAAGTTAGTAATTTAGCTACTAACTACTACATGCATAATTAAAATAGTATTTGAATTATTTTTCTAATTACTTTGTCTGTAACTTAGTTACTCAATAAGTAATTTAATTACTTGACCCAATGCAAATCCACATAAATCTTGATGCATAGACTAAATAAATTCTTTAAATTGTTAATATGCAAAATATCTGAATAACATATATATATATATATATATATATATATATATATATATATATATATATATATATATATATATATATATATATATATATATATATATATATATATTTTTTTTTTTTTTTACAATTACTCTTACAATTACTGCTTATCTGAATTCTAAATGTATAACTCACATTGATTGTCATGATCTAAAATCTCATTTTTTTTCTTAAACCTATTGTCTTGATGCATGATAAATGTTCTTTATTTGAAAAACTTACATTTCTCTGCAGAATATATATTACTCTGCTTCTCTGAATTAATTTATACAACTCTTAATTTTATGCACAGTATTTAAGGCAAGTATCTTTTAAGTAATTGTAATTAAATGACTTAAAAATGTACAGTAATCTCTTTACTTTTTCAGCACAAAAGTAATTTAATTACAGTATTGTATTACTTTGTAACTAGTTACACCCAATCAGATTTATAACTGCATCAAAATGATCATAATCAAATCAATTTAGGGACCTACATGCTAATGACAACAGTTATTGAAAAGGGCATACTTTAACTAAAGGCCAGGTTTATTAGGCTTAAATATACAGATTCTTATAAACATTCATATACACATTTAAAGCTGAAAGGTTGCTTGATCGTATTAATCTCCTGCTAACTGATTTGCACTTTGATAGGCTTTCCGCAAATAAGCACAATCTTCCTGACTTTGTTCTTAAAATAATTTGGCACAACATCAAAGTATTAGTTAGACAATACTTGAGTCCCTGAAGATGTTACTGAATAACTTTACTTTAGCAGACTTTAGATTCTTATCTAAAGTGAAACTGCATTGAGTTAATCACAGTAACACTGGAGCACATTTAAAATAAAAATAAAAAATTCATTGATTAACGTTGAATTGGTTTATTTATTTTGTAAAATGGATAGTTCTGCGCTTTAATTCTGATTGTATAATATTAAACAATGCTACTGCCATTTTATTAAACATATAGGTCACACTTTTTTGATGGTCCGTTTGTTGAAATTAGTTACATTGCATCTACATGCCAACTAAATCTTATTAGATTATAGACTGGTAGGTTTGGGTTAGGGTTGGGGTTAGGATTAGTGGAAGTTGACATGTACTTGCAAAGTTTCTTATAGTCAGTTACATGTCTGTTGAAGGAGCAGTATCAACAGATATAAAGCAGACAGTCTACTAATACTCAACTGGACCATCAAAATAAACTGTTACCAACATATGTATTCATTACTGTACCCTTTGCAACCACCTTTTGCAACTACAACAATCAACATACTGTCAAAACAAATCCATGTATTCTGCATTTCACAAAAACCTGTTTGTTGTTTATTTGCTTAAAAGTATTAGAGGACAGTACATTACATCAAAATGAATTTTATGTTATCCAGATGCTGTTTTAATGCACTTAAAATAAAAATATATCATTGTAATATGCATTTTAAAAACTAGAATATTAACTTAAAAGTAGGAATGACCCCTTGTGGAAATGCATCAAGCTTTGTACATGGTAAATACACATTTAAAAACAGGAATGCATTGTCATTGACATTATTATTTCCATTTTGCATACTACATTTTAAAACAAAATTTGGTACTCAAATGCTTCCAAACAACGAGAGGCTAGGATTTGATCCAGCAATTTTTAAAAGTACTTTAGGCAATTAAAGGCATGTCTAACTGGATTAAAAAAAAAAAAAAAAAAAAACATGTGGCAAATTTTGGGTGAATAATCAAACATAACACTGTACAGCAAATTGTATCATGGTGTGGACTAATGTCTGTAAATTAAACAGCAAAAAGTATTTTTAAAAATCAGATTTAAATATGAAGTCTGCATGTCCATGTGAATGTTGCTGATTCATTATACACTCTTAAAAATTATTATTATTATTATTATTTTTGCCATTGATGGTTCCATGAAGAACCAATAATATTATTAAATTCAACTAAATGTAAAGTGCAATTTAAATTTTTAAAATGTTTTCTATGCTCACTGAAAAGTTCTTTATGGAATCAAAAAGGTATTAAAACACATATATTTATTCATTAATTTTGGCCATAGGTTTAAAGGTATTTGAAATAATGTTTTTAGTAACATCATTAAATTCTTATAAGTTAAATTAATAAAAAGATTAAAACTAATGTTTTTTTTTTTTGTTTTTTGTTTTTTATAATGAGAGTTTAATTTTGTTGTAGGGATTATTTACAATTTTAACCCAAAGAATGACCAGTCTGTCAAATGAACAAGAGCCGGAGTCAGAGTTGTAAATAACTCATGAAAGAATAAAGCACATCATTGTTTTTCTTGTGAAATTCTCAATAAGTTTGATGTGTCACATGACCCTCTTCTTAATGAAAAAAACAAAACAAAAGTTGGATCCAAGATGACTGGCTTCAAAATGGCCACCATGGTCACCACCCATCTTCACTTACACCACACCATTTGTCTGGTGCAAGTAAGGAATTTGTTGGCTATAAATACTTATATCTTTAACCTTAATATCTGTATTATGTGATAAACTTTTTATAACATACATAAGGTGTGCTGTATTGTAAAAGTTGTTATGGCTGAAGAAAATGTTAGCCCCTGCAAGACAAAATATTTAATATACTGCACATCATTGGGTACTTTACTGCTTAATAACAAGTGAAAGAACTTGACTGCACCAAACCTAGAGTTACAGAATGAAGTGTGCAATTTCTTAAGCACAAGTGAGACCTAGAGCAAAAATAAATGCTGTCAGTTAAACTATAAAGTGTGGGCCATTTATATGGATACACCTTAATAAAATGGGAATGGTTGGTGATATTACCGCCCTGTTTTTGGCACATTAGTATATGTGAGGGGGCTTGTAAATAACTCATGAAAGAATAAAGCACACCATTGTTTTTCTTGTGAAATTTTCAATAAGTTTGATGTGTCACATGACCCTCTTCTTATTAGAAAAAAACAAAAGTTGGATCCAAGATACAGCTTCAAAATGGCCACCATGTACACCACCCATCTTCACTTATACCACATGTGCTTGGACTATGGTATAAGTGGACTTGCCCCTCACACAAATGTTAATTTGCCACAAACAGGACGTTAATATATCACCAACCATTCCCATTTTATTAAGGCGTATCCATATAAATGGCCCACCCTGTTTTTGTTGCTAATGCTAACGTTTCTCTCATTATTTATTTATTTTTTCTTTTCTGCAGACATTTAGGCAAATTTACCAAGACATTTACCAAATCGGAAGGGTACTGATTTAAATCATCATGGCCATGTCTATCCTCACCCATATTTTGGCTGGCCTGTTTGGCATGGGCTCCTGGGTCACCATCTGTGGACTGTTTGTGGAACTTCCGCTAATCGTCCCACATGTTCCTGAGGGCTGGTATCTTCCCTCCTACATCTCTGTCATCATCCAAATGGCCAACATCGGACCTCTGTTTGTCACATTAATGCATCGCTTCCGACCAGGAACGCTCAGCGAGACTGCGGTTATCTATTTTATTATTGCTTTCGGGATATTAGCCAGTCTCTTACTGGCGTTTTTCTGGAGTGAAAGAGTGGTGGTGCAAGGTGTGGAACGCAGTGTTCCTCTTCTCCTCCTAATCTTCTTCATCTCCATAGTGGACTGCACTTCTTCAGTCACGTTCCTTCCCTTCATGACACAGCTCAAGGCCGAGTATCTCATGACTTATTATATCGGAGAAGGTTTAAGTGGTCTGGTCCCGGCTTTAATGGCGATGGTTCAAGGTGTTGGTGTGATGGAATGCGTCAATGCATCTCTAATCCTTAGATCCAACCAATCGCATTTTAACTCATCTGAAGAAAATGCTAACTATCTAGTTCCTAGCTACCAACCTGCTAACTTCTCAGTTGAAGCTTATTTTTTCTTCCTGACGGCTATGATGGTGGTTTGTCTGGTGGCGTTTTTACTTTTAAACTACCATCCGGCTGTGGCTCGAGAACGGCCTAATGGCAGTCCCGTATCCCGCTGGAAAAACAAGAAATCGGAGAAGAAACCGATGATGAATTCTCAAAGGACTGTTCAGAAAGCCAGGAGCTCATTTGGGACAGGGACGTACACATGGGTGCAAGTTGTATACATCTATATTATCATAACATGGGTGAATGCATTGACCAACACTGGTTTGCCATCCGTGCAGTCATATTCATGTTTGCCGTATGGAGATCAGGCCTATCACTGGTCTGCCACTATGGCCAATGTTGCCAATCCTATAGCTTGCTTCATCACCATCTTTTACACTCAAAGGTGAGCAACATCAGCAACATGAAAAAGAAATATTTTAAGTTGGCACCTATTGATTTCATATTGAAATAATTTATTGAACAAAAAACTGTACTAAATGATATGTGGATATTAAATATACAGGATAATTTGGCCCACATGGAATCTGCACTCGCAGAAAACTGTAGATATTTAGCAGATTTTTAGCCCATCGAGTCTATTTATTTTCTTGTGTAAATGTGTGTAAATTTATAGTTTATTCAGTTTTTACATTAATTTCAGTTATATTATCGACTAATATGAAAATGTTGATATGATTTATTTACAATAGAGTTTGTGAAGTAATACTTTTTGTCTTTTTAGTAGATATATTATATGAGAGACTTGTTTTGTTTACCAAATAAGAGAAACTAATTGGATTTGCATTGGAAACATTGTAAAAAAAGTTAAAAAGCTATTATTTTTTATTTCATATATTAAGTTTTTAGTTACGTTTCTCCTAAAATCATTCCGCCTAAATCCTTAGATTTTTCACTAAATTTTGCACAAAAATAGCAAAAAATATCCACAAATTCTGTCTGGTTCTACTGCAAAAAAAAAAAAATTCTTACTTAGATTTTTTTGTCTTGTTTCTAGTTCAAATATCTAAACATTTTTAAATCAAGAAGATTTTTTTCTAGAAAAGCAAAACATATTGTCTTGTTTTAAGAAATAATATGGTAGTTTTTTTTTCTAAATAATCTACCAATGGGGTAAGCAAAATAATCGTATCTCAAAAGGAAAAACAAGATTATTTTTTTTACCCCATTGTCAGATTATTTTGCTTGTTTCAAGGAAAAACTCACTTAATATTGGCATATTATTTCTGAAAATAAGACAATATGTTTTGCTTGCCTAGAAAATGCTTCTTGGTATAAGAACTTTTAGAGATATGTACTAGAAAAAAGACAAAAAATCTAAGTAAGAAAAGCTTTTTTTGCAGTGTAACCCAAGCAGTCTTTTTCTTAAGTCTGGAAGATATATATTTTATTCTATAATATAAATGAGATATATATTTTAAATGAAATATTTTTTCTGCAAGTATGAAATAAATAGATCAAAATTTTTTTGGTAAAGTTTTTTGACTTTACAAACGTTTTTTGAAATCTTGTCTTAGAATTTTTTTTTTCAAAGTTTCTCAGTTTCAAAGAAAATTTCTTCTCTAAATTTTTCTAGAAGAAGTTTAATTAGATTTATATAGTTTGTAAGCAAACTTTTATGTTGGCTTGATATGTGTTCATGCGTATATACTGTAACTTTAAAAGATAGTAGGTAGACACTGTAAGAAACAATACTTATATTTTTGATCAAATTAATGCAGTAATGATAAAAATGTTTCCCAATACTGGGTTGGGGCTGCAATGGTATTTGCTGTGTAAAAGATATGCTGAAATAGTTGGTGGATCATTTCGCTGTGGCAACCTTTGAAATAGAGACTAAGCTGAAGGAAAATGAATGAATGATGAAAATTATTATTTTTTTAAACAAAAAAGTAAAAGGTTTTCAAGCAAAAATACATAAATAATAGATTTGTAACAAAGGAAGTAAATAATTAGACACTGTGTTCATACATGGTCATGCATACATACATAAACGAACATTTGCATCTGTTTGTTGCATGTAAACCGTACAGTACAGTAATGAATATTCTTAACACTTTATTTTATTGTGAACAGGTCATTAGTGCTGATGGGAGTCCTCACATCTCTTGGTTCTCTTATTGGAGTTTACATCATGGCCATGGCTGTGTTGAGTCCTTGTCCACTGCTAGTTCATGACACCTCAGGAGCTGTCATTATTGTGAGTATTAGTGATTTGTACATGTTTCATCACGTGTTTTCGCATGTGACTACTGTGTTTCAATCGATCAGTATACATAGTAAAAACGGAGCGAGTGGTGTAGGCTTATGGTTATGAAAAGAATGTTATACTTCAGTAGTCTCAAACTCACTTCTTGGAAGCTGCAGCTCTGCATAGTTTAGCTCCAATTACCTCCAACTCACACCTGCTTAATAGTCTCTAGTAGTCTTTGGCCCCGTTTACACTAATGCATTTACACATACGTTTTTCTATGGTTATGTCATCCGTCCACACTACGCTGGAGTTTTCGAGCGCCGAAAATGGAGCGTTTTGGAAATGCTGAAGAGGCCGTTTTCATTCTAAAACGCTGCTGCTCTGTCTCAGTGTGGATGGGGGAAAACGGAGACATCTGAAAACGGAGGAGGGGTTGCAGACATTCGCCTCTCTGATTGGGGCTTTTCCTCAATATAAGTAGCCAAGTCTACACACAGTTCAGTCCTGCATCCTCACCTTGTAGGTTCAGACTTCGCTAGTTTGATATAGAAAACAGACTCCCGAGGACATGTCTGTAAAGGCAACAGTGTGCTGTATAACCTTATTAACATCATCCCTGGCTACGTTGTTTCAATATATCTTAACAATAAAATGAAAACATGATATAAGGAACAGCTATTTTCATTTTGATATTAATAACTTAAAAGACAGCAGAAATGAGGTGTCGTGCTGCATATATGAGCGTCATCTTCACTGTATGCGTGTAGTGTATGTATGTAGTGTAGTATGTCGTAAACATTTTGTGCAAACGAATGAGAGAAGAATAATACATACCTCAATGCCCTCCAGAGTGTCCCGCCAGAGAAAGTGGCATCACTTGGAGCAGTCACATTCTTTTTCGAAGTTTTAAAGATTATGTTTTTTTTTTTGTTTTTTTTTAATAACAAATGTAACAGTGAGTTCACAGAATGTAACAGTAAGACTAGACAGTAGGAACAGATAAAAAATCTTTTTTTAGTTCCTGAAATGTTAAATAATACAGAAAATAAATGCTTCATGCAAGTATTTTTGTTAACTTACTAGAGTAAACACAAAAAAAGATCAAAATAACCTTAATAATTTCATGATCATTTAATTTGATAAAATATAATTTCCGGCGACACGGTGGCTCAGTGGTCAGCGCTGTAGCCACACAGCAAGAAGGTCACTGGTTCGAGCCCAACTGGCTGGGCCAGTTGGTGTTTCTGTATGGAGTTTGCATGTTTTTCCTGTGTATGCGTGGGTTTCTCCCACAGCCCAAAGACATGCGGTACAGGTGAATTGAATAGACTTAATTGGCTGTATGAGTGTGAATGCAAGAGTGTATGTGTTTGCCAGTGGTGGGTTGCAGCTGAAGGGCATCCGCTGTGTAAAACATATGCTGGATAAGTTGGCGGTTCATTCCACGGTGGTGATCTCTGAAATAGAGACTAAGCAGAAGGAAAATGAATGAATGAATTAAAATACAATTTCATAATCATAACCCCGTAATTCATGCAAAGCATCATGGGGTGTTGTTTAAAGGTGATTATAAACATTTTGTATTATTCTTTCTTTTTATTTACATTAACTCAAAGTAATTGTGTGTTTTACAGGTGTTGGCATGGTTCTTATTCATCTTGGTCCTCTCCTATGTGAAGGTAATTGCTGCTGTCATCCTGCGAGACGAAGGCCACAGTGCTCTCGTGTGGTGTGGAGCAGTAGTACAGCTGGGCTCAATGCTGGGGGCAGTTACTATGTTTCCTTTGGTCAACGTTTTTGACTTTTTCACTTCAGGCGACCCATGTAGCACTAACTGCTTATGAGATATGGCAACTGCAAATCATATTAATGTTAATTCTACTGTTGTTAATATTATTTTTAATTGTGGATTATTTTAAATAATATAATTTTTCAATTACGCCTTTGATGAGAAAGGAAACACATTTAAAACGTATAGTCAAAATTATTCTATAATGTAAAATAAGCTACATTGTAATGGAATTTTGTTATATGCTGATCCATTTAACTGTATATATTATCTGTGTTTGTAAAACTAGATTTAGGATAGTAAAGTTAGTTGTTTTTCTTCATTTACTTTTTTTTTTTATCTCAGTAGAAAATGTCAATACCACATTTGTCAGAACTATAAAATGTCCACTAGATGTCAGTAACGGTAGATATAAACTCACTGGCCACTTTATAAGGTACTCCTTGATAGTACTTGAACCCTATTTTTCCAAACTGCCTAATCCTTTGTGGCACAGGTTCAACAAATTTTCTCAGAGATTTTGGTCCATTTTGACATAAGAGCATCACGCAGATGCTGCATATTTGTTAGCTCAATATCCATGATGTGAATCTCCCATTTTATCACATCCTAAACGTGCTCTATTGGATTTAACATCTGGTGACTGTGGGGGCCATTTGTGTACAGTGAACTAATTGTCATGTTCAAGAAACCAGTCTGAGATGATTAGCACTTTATGCCATGTCGTGTTATCCTGCTGTAGCCATCAGAAGATGCAATCAACAATGCTACAATAATTCTGACCCTATATCCGAACATCACAGCAGAAATCGAGACTCATCAGACCAGGCATGTTTTTTCAATCTTCCATTGTCCAATTTTGGTGAGTCTGTGTGAATTATAGCCTCAGTGTCCTGTTCTTAGCTGACAGAAGTGGCACTCGGTGTGGTCTTCTGCTGCTGTAACCCATCCGCATCAAGGTTGGACGCATTACATTTACATTTAGTCATTTAGCAGACGCTTTTATCCAAAGCGACTTACAAATGAGGACAAGGAAGCAATTTACACAACCAAGAGCAACAATGAATAAGTGCTATAGGCAAGTTTCAGGTCTGTAAAGTCTAAGAAGGAAAGTATTAGTAGTATTAGTATTTTTTTTTGTTTTTTTGTTTTGTTTTTGGGTACATTAAGGTAGCCCATCCGCATCAAGGTTGCATACCTCAGTTATAATGAGGGGTTATTTGAGTTACTGTTGCCTTTCCATCAGCTCGACCAGTCTGGCCATTCTCCTCTGACCTCTGGCATCAAAAAGGCATTTGTACCCACATAACTGACTCTCGCTGGATATTTTTTTCTTTTTTGGACCATTCTCTGTAAACCCTACAGATGGCTGTGCGTAAAAATCCCAGTAGATCAGCTGTTTCTGAAATACCCAGACCAGCCTGACTGGCTCCAACAACCATGTCACATTCAAAGTTATTTAAATCTCCTTTCTTCCCCATTCTGATGCTCAGTTTAAACTTCAGCAGATCATCTTGACCATGTCTATGTGCCTAAATGCATTGAGTTGCTGCCATGTAATTGACTGATTAGAAATTTGCGTTAGCGAGCAGTTGGACAGGTGTACCTAAAAAATGGCCGGTGAGTGTATTTCACAATTAGAACAGTATACATTCTTTCCAAGGAGCAAGGGGTTACACTAAACAAAGATTCTCAAAATATTACAAAGAAAAGAAAAATAATTATAGGTAAATAATAATAATAAAAATAAAAACACTTTTGTCACACAAAACACTTTTTCAGTTTTCATGCTTAAAACCTTTTTCAGTTTTATTTGTATTAAACCTTCTAATCATCTCAGCACAAATATTTTCAATTCCAAATTTGCCAGAATCATTAAATGTCCACTAGAAGGCAGTAACAGTCTACAGTAAATATAAATAATTTACATCAGTTCTCAGAAAAGAGCAAGGAATTACACTGTAATAATTATGTAAAATTGGAGAACATATGTAAATGGGTGCAATTTACAAATAAAATACTGTTTTCAGCAAGTACTTTAGACCTGCTGTAGGCTTTTAGGATGTCTTATAATTATAAGTGCATTTTTATTAGTGATATATACAGTTGAAGTCAGAATTATTGTCCCCCCCCCACATATTAACGAAAATAAATTCAACACATTTATAAACAAAATAGTTTAATAATAAAAATATATATACTTTTATCTTTGTCATGATGACGATACATAATATTTTACTAGATATTTTTCAAAATTAGTATTCAGTTTAAATTGACATTTAAATATTAAATTAGGTTTATTAGGCAAGTTAGGGTAATCAGGCAAATCGTTGTATAACAGTGGTTTTTTCTGTAAACAAGCAAAAAAAAATGCTTAAGAGGGTTAATAATATTGACTTCAAACAGTTATTTATTTATTTATTTTTTTATTAAAAACTTCTTTTATTCTAGCCCAAAAACGACTTTCTCCAGAAGAACATAAATTTAAAACAAAAATTGCATTTTACAATGTTTGTAAACTTTATATGAAACATATCTGCTCATCTTTAAAATGTTGCCTAGAAAAAAACAGCAACACCAGCACTTATAGTTGAAGTCAGAATTATTAGCCCCCCCTGTTTATTTTTTTGCCCAATTTTTGTTTAACAGAGACAAGATTTTTTTTCAACACATATCTAAACATAATACTTTTAATAACTGATTTATTTTATCTTTGCCATGATGACAGTAAATAATATTTTACTAGATATTTTTCAAGATACTTCTACACAGCTTAAAGTGACATTTGAAGGCTTAACTAGAGTAATTAGGTAACTAGGCAGGTTAGGGTAATTAGGCAAGTTATTGTATAACAGCGGTTTGTTCTGAAGACAGTCTGGAAAAAAACTGGCTTAATGGGGCTAATAATTTTGTCCTTAAAATGGTTGATAAAATATTAAAAACTGCTTTTATTCTAGCTGAAATAAAACAAATAAGACTTTCTCCAGAAGAAAAAATATTATCAGACATACTGTGAAAATTTCCTTGCTCTGTTAAACATAATTTGGGAAATATTTAAAAAAAGAATGAAAAAATCAAAGGGAGGCTAATAATTATGACTTCAACTGTATATATATATATATATATATATATAAGGGATGTAACGGTATCAAAATGTCAGGGTACGATAATACATCGGTATGAATGGCACGGTACGGTATTTATTGAATAATTTACAGGAAAAACAAAACTAATGAAAACTCGAAAAAAGTGCCAAAAGTGTTTATTTACCTTAGCACTGAACATATCAATGACATACAAATTAACCATCTATCTGTAAGTTTCGAAACAGGAATAGGAATGGGTTTTTTTTTAAGGAAAATGATCATATAACTATAATCTGGTAAAAGCTGGGATCTCTGGGCATGTCCCCTGGAACAGAAAAAACCCTCAATTGGGGACGGAGGTTTCTGGGACAGAGAGATATGATTTAGCCAAGGTTGACGTTGTGCACTCTTTGCGGTACAAGTCAATGTCTGCATCAATCTAACTGCTGTGTTCTGCAGTCCCCATGACTGTTTTCAGTCGTATTTCCTGACTTATATTTCATATATATACTGTTTTTTTCTTTGTCTGTCACCTTTTCTCCTTTTTCGTATCATTTTAGAAAGAAACCGAAATGCTTCCACACATCCGATTTAAAACCCGCTTTAGGTTCGATCATTTCCAGCTCTTTTTCTTCCCCGCTACTAGCAACACACTCTATTTCCGCATTACTGGATCTGTAGCGACAACAGACCGCAAAGGATGATGGCCACGCCTAGGCTGATGGGAATTGTAGTTCCCGCTACCTCCCGTTCGCTTCCCGTTGCGTATTTACAATATTGTTACATCCCTAATATATATATATATATATATATATAATTTTTAATTGTTTGACATGTTTATTTGTAGTTATTAACAAAAATAGTTTGTTAATAAAAATTTTGAATAAAACTCATGATATGTCATAATTGAACAAAGGAGCAGAAAACTTTGATAAAATGTCATGAAAATCATAAATATTAGCCACGGAACTATAAGTAATGTCACTAAACTGGTCTGATATTATAAATCTGCATCATGTAAAGTGAGGGGATTACAATGTACAAATGTAATTTAGTCTTAGTATCCTAACACCTACCATACATGATGTTGGTGATTTTTTTTCATCTGTCGAATGTCAAAGACATTTTTAGCTGAAACCAAGGTCTTTGGTCATTAATAAAATGACCAAAAAGAATACTTATGGCTCCCTGATGACTATCCATGCACTTTATAGATTACCACCAAGGACCACAGTATCAGCAAAATAGCTGAACGTTAACAACAAATCCCAGTTTTTAGAGAGTATGTACAGTATGCATATGATTATGTAAAAGAAAAAAAAGATAGATTATTATATCAAATGTCTTCAATTTGTTTAATGTTTCATTAAACTAAATTGACAAATTTCTAGTAAAAAGAGCAATCATTTTTTTGTTGGCAGAACCTTAAGGAATTTATTAAGCCTCAAAAAAAACCCTCAAGAATTTTGTTGTTTCAGCACATTTTAATAAGTACTTTGAACAAACAGCAGCCATATTTTTTTGAGTGTAAAAAACAGTCATGTTTGATTCTGTGTTGTTGGCAACCTCAGCAAATTGCCAAAAGCTTTTTGAGTCTCAGAAAGTCTGAACATATCAGAATGTCTCATCGCAAAATCTGGTAAATAAAATTCTTTTAAACTAACATTAGCATACAATCAAGAAAGGTTTTAATTTGCTTGTCAAAAATTGTCTGATGTAACAATATTTTTATTGGGTAATTTGTTGCCAACATTTATTTTGGTCACTGTTTTTTCGAAACACAAGAGAGAAAAAATAAGAAGAAGAACAGCACAAATGTACTCCTTCGTATAGTTTATTTATACCAACTTATATAGTTATAAGTTGCTATATAGTTATTTAAGTTATATACTGTATGTAATTTTACTTATTTACTCACCCTTCACTTGGGTTCCACACAGTTCCTTCATGCTGTCTCCACACAAATCAATGCATGTAAATTAGTTGTTTTACAAATTGAAGTGGATTGAACATAAAACAATCATGTTGTCCCCAAAAAACCCAAGAATTGTGTTTATTCAGCTCATTTTTAATATGTGGTTTGAAGAAGCAGCAAAAAATTTTATTTATTTATTTATTTTTTTAGGGTATTTGATTTTTTTAAGGTATAAGGTATTTATAAAAAAAATAAGGTATTAAAAAAAAATGCTAGTTTCTGGGACACATTGACTTCCATTTTTTCCTTCTATGGAAGTCA